TTTTGGAGGAAGTCTCGTACGAAACGCTCGTTTTGGAGACTTGACACGTGACTTTTGGAGGAAGTCTCGTACGAAACGCTCGTTTTGGAGACTTGACGTGTGACTTTTGGAGGAAGTCTCGTACGAAGCGCTCGTTTTGGAGACTTGACGCGTGACTTTTGGAGAAAGTCTCGAACGAAACGCTCGTCTTGCGCAGCCTCGAAGCGTGACTTTTGGAGGACGTCTCGTACGAAACGCTCGCAGGACTGCTTCTAGTGTGCCACAAGAGTGTCCCACAAGAGTGTCCTACAAGAGTGTCCTACAAGAGTGTCCCACAGAGCGTCCCACAAGAGTGTCCTACAAGTGTGTCCTACAAGAGTGTCCCACAAGAGTGTCCCACAAGAGTGTCCTATAAGAGTGTCCCACAAGAGTGTCCTACAAGAGTGTCCCACAAGAGTTTCCTACAAGAGTGTCCCACAAGAGTGTCCCACAAGAGTTTCCTACAAGAGTGTCACACCAGAGTGTCCCACAAGAGTGTCCCACAAAATTGTCCCACAAGAGTGTCCTACAGGAATGTCCTACAAGAGTGTCCCACAAGAGTGCCCCACAAGAGTGTCCTGCAAGAGTGTCTCACAAGAGTGTCCCACAACAATGTCCGACAAGAGTGTCCCAAAAGAGTGTGTCCTATAAGAGTGTCCCACAAGAATGTCTGGCAAGAGTGTCCCATAAGAGTGACCCACAAGAGTGTCCTATGAGAGTGTCCCACAAGGAGTGTCCTACAAGAGTGTCGTGGAAGAGTGACCCACAAGAGTGTCCCGGAAGCGTGTCCTACAAGAGTGTCTACAAGAGTGTCCCACAAGAGTGTCCCAGAAGAGTGTCCTACAAGAGTGTCCTACAAGAGTGTCCTACAAGAGTGTCCCACAAGAGTGTCCCACAAGAGTGCCCCGCAAAAGTGTCCCACAAGAGTGTCCTGCAAGTGACCCACAGAGTGTCCCACAAGAGTGTCCCAGAAGAGTGTCCCACAAGAGCGTCCTATAAGAGTGTCCCGCAAGAGTGTCCTACAAGAGTGTCCCACAAGAGTTTCCTACAAGAGTGTCCCACAAGAGTGTCCCACAAGAGTGTCCTACAAGAGTGTCCCGCAAGAGTGTCCCACAAGAGTGTCCCATAAGAGCGTCCCACAAGAGTGTCTCACAAGAGTGTCTCACAAGAGTGTCCCTTAAGAGTGCCCTACAGGAGTTTCCTGCAAGAGTGTCCCACAAGAGTGTCCTACAAGAGTGTCCTACAAGAGTGTCCCACAAGAGTGTTCCAGAAGACTGTCCTACAAGAGTGTCCCAGAAGAGTGTCCCAGAAGAGTGTCCTTCAAGAGTGTCCCACAAGAGTGTCCCACAAGATTGTCCCACAAACGTGTCCGACAAGAGTGTCCTATGAGAGTGTCCCACAAGAGTGACCCACAAGAGTGTCCCATAAGAGTGTCCCACAAGAGTGTCCTACAAGAGTGTCCCATGTCCCACAAGAGTTTCCTACAAGACTGTCACACAAGAGTGTCCTACAAGAGTATCCCATAAGAGTGTCCTACAAGAGTGTCCCACAAGAGTTTCCTACAAGAGTGTCACACAAGAGTGTCCCACAAGAGTGTCCTACAAGAGTACCCCACAAGAGTATCCCACAAGAGTGTCCCACAAGAGTGTCCTACAAGAGTGTCCCACAAGAGTGTCCCACAAGAGTATCCCACAAGAGTTTCCTACAAGAGTGTCCCACAAGGAGTGTCCTACAAGAGTGTCGTGTAAGAGTGACCCACAAGAGTGTCCTACAAGAGTGTCTCACAAGAGAGTGTCCCATAAGAGTGCCCGACAAGAGTGTCCTACAAGAGTGTC